GCCAAAGAGCAAAGAGGCAAAGAAAAGAGGAAGGGCACAGCCAAATACAACAGAACAAAACAGGGGTAAACAAGCAATAGCACCAAAAACGGATCCTAGATGATAAGTCCCACATGCAAGCACCGCCCCTCCTTTCCTTCACAGGCCAAACGACAGGACAAGACCACCCAGGACAAAACTCCTGTCTGCACAAAAAGAAAAATCCCAGATTACATATCTATATACAGCGGATGGCCTTATTCGTCATCATCAAGACGTGGGTATTCCCATTTGTGGAAGCAACCAAAACTAGGATGCCAAGACAATAAAAGAGAACCCGGATGACTGCTCCCACATGAAAGCACCGCAACGTTACGCTCGCCAAAATAGACCAAACAACGGGTGTACCACTTGTGCACACCACACGGAAAACTCTACAGACTGCAGGCTCACACCCTATCATAAGCCAGCAAAACCCCTATGCAACGAGAAAGGTTCATCACAACTAGAAAATACACTCCAGACACGTCGTGTCTGCCACTAGAAACACAATATGGCCCCATAGTATTCTCTCTCTCTCTCTCTCTCTCTCTATAGCGCACACGCGCACACTTTTTTTTTAATTTTAAAATAAAGAGGTCTCGATGGACCACTGATCAGATATGAAACTGATCTCTCTCTCTCTCTCTCGCGCGCGCATGCGCATGTTTTTTTTTCTTTTTGAAAATAAAAAAGTCTAGATGGGCCACAGATCAGTTATGAAACTGAATGAAGCAGATACTACGCTTATCATGGGGGGGAAGAATCGAATATGAAACTGATCGAAGCAGATACTACACTTCACAGGGCAGTGGGGGGGAGGGGGGGAGAAGCGCATAGTTAGATTGGGTTCTCTCTCTCTCTCTCTCTCTCTCTCTCTCTCTCTCTCTCTCTCTCCCTCCCTTACATAGTGTTAGCAGCAGGAGTTGTTTTCAGACCCGATCTCTCCTGGGGGTATTTAATTTGATTGAAGGGGGCGAGTTATCATAGCAGGGGAGCGTGCGGATCTTCATAACATTGCACTGGAGAGTAGCAATGTCGAGCATTGTAGAGTTTTCTTCTTCTCTCTCTCTCTCTCTCTCTCTCTCTCTCTCTCTCTCTCTCTCTCTCTCTCTTAGCAGCAGGAGTTGTTTTCAGACCCGATCTCTCCTGGGGGTATTTAATTTGATTGAAGGGGGCGAGTTATCATAGCAGGGGAGCGTGCGGATCTTCATAACATTGCACTGGAGCTGTCTCTTATACACATCTAGATGTGTATAAGAGACAGACATTGCACTGGAGAGTAGCAATGTCGAGCATTGTAGAGTTTTCTTCTTCTCTCTCTCTCTCTCTCTCTCTCTCTCTCTCTCTCTCTCTCTCACACACACACACACACACACACACACACACACACACACACACACACACACACACACACACACATGCTCATAGTTCGAAGCGAACAAAGAAACGAAAGCAAACAGACATCAATAACAAAGTGAAGTTAACTCACCATCAGTCATCATAACATGGTCGTCTGAAAGCCTCCACCCAATGCACTTGTCAGCATCCAACCTTCGGGATCTGGAGCCCAACCTCCAGCAAGTGAAAAAGCATAATATGTGTTCAGTGTTGGTGTGTTAGGTGTGCGAGTAAAAAAGTGTAGTGTGTGTTCAGTCTAGGTGTGCTTGTGTGTATGTTGTCATACGCAACTCCATAAAAAAGCAAGAGTTAACAGCCTTGCTGCACTACTCTCCACATGCACAAAAGACAAGAAATGGCAACGTATCTTTCCATGTCCTAGCGGTGGATTCACTCTCATTTTGCACATTTGGAGAGTAGTGCAGCGAGGCCCTAAGCCAGGCTGTTTTGTCGGACTTCCACCAACTCATCAGGAGGTAGAACCCCGACAATCTTTGCAGGATGTCTCGTGTGTGTGTGTGTGTGTGTGTGTGTGTGTGTGTGTGTGTGTGTGTGTATCCACATGCCAAGTCAAAGCCGAGCATAGTAGCATAGGGGTGGGCCTTTCCCACGCTGTAGAAGCCACAGCTTACAGCACCAACGGCCACCAACCACAGTCGAGATGAGAGAGAGAGAGAGAGTCGTGGAGGGGCGCTTCACAACAACAGCAGACGCAGACCACACCAAAGACAACGGAGCGAGGGCGCTTCCGACAACAGCCAGTCCAACGGGAAAGTTGGGTTGGCCCATTGCCGTGAGGCGCCTTTGAGTCCAGTAGGACCCAATGGCACTCCACGGCATGTCAATCTCAGCCGTCCATCCGGTAGGCTGGAACCGACGGCCTGGATCTCGGTGCAGTCCTAAGATCTTAAGATCGCGCCTATCTAGGCCATCAGTGCAGTACAACTGGACGGCCCAGATCTTAGATTTGTTACATTGTTCCAGTGATCTGGGCCGTGAACCGGTAAGAACCGCGACAGCCTGGATTCGAGATTTATCGAGTTAGCGATTTTAATAGTCTAGGGAAGAAAAAGCAATAGCAGTTTTTGATCAATTGTTGAAATACAGACCTGAGTTCGAATCACAGAGGCAACCAGATGCACAGCACTTTCTCAATTCTTTCTAGATCAAGCACCTGGGCCAAGCAGAGCCCTCCAGAGGCTCACACTTAACACAGTACCCTGCAACCTCAATCCGAAAAAGAAAAACGAAAAAAACGTCATATGTATTCACCAAACAATAAGTAAAGAGCCTAAAAGAAAAAAGAAGAAGAAGAAGCCACCCACAGGATGAAAATTGCAAGCATACAATACAAAGGGCACCACAAACCTATAAACAATCTATAATATGTAGTACTTAACATGTATATCGTCAATTTGTCAGTCGTCTTGTCGATTCATAACATACATTGGCACAAGGACATGTCCCTGCCCTCTCTGGAGCTGATACTTAGCAAAACAAAAACTGCTGCATTATACTACAACAGCTGTGCTGTTTGAAGTTGTACGCATTGGCACCATTGATTTGGGAAGCTCTTCGCCACATCCTTTGATACATTAGCCCCATCACTCTCCGGAAGATGCCCACAAGCATCCTTCCCCCACCCACCCACAAACACCCTACCCCTACCCCCAATAGCTAAGCTATGTACAATAGGGAGCTATGCAAAAGACTTGCATTCCCATAAACAAGACGGTTCACAGACTGCAACAGCTACCAGTCCGAGCGGTCACCTGGAGCTGTTCGTCTCCCCCTTTTTTGTTCTCTAAACCATGCTCCACCTTGTTTCAAGGTCCAACTCCCATTTCAGGTCCTCCCATGGCTAAATCACTTGCTTTGACAAATTGACACTCATCAACAGATATAGGCTATCCATCTGTTGATACAGGCTACAAAACTCATCCTTTGCGTTTGCAACAAATTCTTACCTACCCAGATCAGTAATCGTGCGACGAAGATGAAGACAAAGACAAGGAAGAAGAAGAAGAAGACACAGAAAGCCAGAAGAAGAAAGAAGAAGAAGAAAGAAGAAGCAAGCAAGCAGAAGAAAACAAGAAAGCAAGAAGAAGAAGAAGAAATCATGAGACGAAGACGAAGACAAGGAAGAAGAAGAAGAAGAAGAAGAAGAAGAAGAAGAAGAAGAAGAAGAAGAAGAAGAAAGCAAGCAGAAGAAAACCAGAAAGCAAGAAGACGAAGAAAGAAGAAGAAGAAGAAGAAGAAGAAGAAGAAGAAAGCAAGCAGAAGAGGAAGAAGAAGTAGGGGGAGAAGGAAGGCGAGGGGGGAAGGTAGAGAGGGCGTAAGCGCGGTCTAATACCATTAACGAAACCCAATCAAGATCATCAGCAAGAAGCATCAAGGGATTGCATTGCGTTGTCACATCCACCCAGTACCAGAAGTAGCAGCAGCAGCATTTCCCTGTCTTCACTCCCTGTTATAGATTAATACAGAGTGCTCGGGAGGAGGCATCAGCTTCCGTACCATCTCCTCATCCACTGTCTTCTCCTGATAGAATGCATGCATGGTCATTAAAGCCGTACCGGGAGCAACTTCCAGTCTGGGTACAATGACTAGTGGCCAGTACTACTTTCCCAATTGCAATCATTAAAATGGGGCTGTCACAAAAGGGGAAAACATTCGACAAATACAAAGAAAAAGAAGAGCACGATGACGACTATGGCTATTTTTTTAGATTACAAAACACTTTTTAGTACTTTACACACATCGCGGCATTCCGTTCTTCCTCACCTTGGGACATGGGACCACAAGGACCCTTTCTTCGGGGTTTCCCAAAGAGAGCAAGGGGTCATTACATCTATAGGATTCTGTAAGGCCAGATACAGATCACAATGTGACGCAGATACGGAGCACATGAACGGATTCCCATTCGGAAGAACAACGCCAGCAAGATGGGAACCAGTTCTCGTTCCATGTCCATTTGCCATGTCCCGGTCCGCCAAGACGGACATCGCAACTTCCATCCATACCTGCTTCAACCAGAAAATTCCTCTGTGCATTCTACAGTGCAGCACTCCTCCGATGATCTGTTCAAGATCATCAACGACCTAACTTTTTTTTTTAACTAATCTATATTCTTCTCTCGTTTGCTTAAATCAACCACAACAACAAAAACGTTTCGACAGACATCAGTAGCTCCACTGTACACACGATGGGTCGCTGGCACAACTGAAAGCAAGGAAAACCCTTTGCCGCTGAACACCTTCCACTAGTGCACTGCGATCATCAGCTTCGTTTGCGTGCGGCGGTGGGCAGAAAAGATCTTTCAAGATTTTGTACTCAAAATGACGCACGCTGATATAAAACACTTACTAGCACACAATCGCTTACCCCGAAAAACCTTATTAAAATGGAGTGAACATATTCATGATTTTATGTCCCCTTGCCGGCCGCCAGCCTGCATACCCCCCTCTTCCTGTCCGCCTTCGGTTCATGCATGTCGACTTTTTCTCATCGCCAGCTCAAGGGATTGGCTGCAGACATACTCACAGATCTGTCCTTTCTTACACGTAGATCTTACACGTAGATCTTACACGTAGATGATACAGAATATGACGCTTGATATCCGAGTCCTGTAAATTGTCACACACACGACAAAATCCACTCCTGGTTAAGCCTTTTTTTTCTTTTTTTTTTGGACCATTCATTCCTCGCATTCTCTCTCTCTCTCTCTCTCTCTCTCTCTCTCTCTCTCTCTCTCTCTCTCTCTCTCTCTCNGGGGGGTTACCCCAGGACACCCGACCCCCCCACAACCCATTCACCCCCTCAACCCCCCCTCGGAAGGGCACGTACGGGGGGCCCGAAGTCCGTACGTATGACCCGTACCGGGCCCCGGGGCCCGTACGTACGACCCGTATTCGTACGGGCGTATACACTGCTTTGGGGGGTAACCCCCGACATGCACCCCCCCTGCACCCCCTCAGATGTCAACCCCCCTCCGGAAGGCCCACGAAACGGCTCGTACTTTCGCCTGGGGCCTGTACGTACGACCGTACGACTGTTCGTACTCCCCGTATTCATACGGGGGTACACATAGACGCTATAGTTGCACGACGTGTTGACTCGCCGCATGCAGCTCCTTCCCGTGTAGATTGTGGCAAAGTATACTCTTAGCCCGCCTTGCAGGTGCGTACAGGCGGCAGTGCATTTAGGGTTTCAGTTACTTCGTCGGCTGTGTGCTCCATAGAGATGGCGCAACTGTTGTACTCCTGGTGGGAGGGGGGGACGGTTTGGAGGGGGGGTTAGATCTTCTTTGTTTGCACTGTTTTCGGTCGATGTGCAAGTCAATCCTTTCGTCTTTTGGTGAAAGCAATCAATGCTTGCACGATAACTGTGTTGAGGTTGTTTGACGTAATTGAATGTTTCACCCTTGGGATTGTGTTGTGAATGCGATTAACGTGTGTTATTTTTTGTCCTGCAGCTGTGTGCATTCCTACATGTGAGAGTTCACCGAACACGAAATACATGCATGCATTATAGAACAACACATAACTTGCTGTTTGGCCATTCAATTATGTAGTCTGACCGAATCATTGTGTGGTGACTTTGACAAGCACATTGCAAACAAATCGAGTAGCAAGGCGGTGAGGGGAAAAAAAAAACAAAAAAAAAAAACAGCGAACACAATGAAGTCATGTCACACTGGGTCACACTGAAATTCATGCCAAACGTATAAAACGCGAAAACAGCTCGTGGCTGTAAGCATTAGCAAYGAAAACAAAAGAATATCGTCCGTAGCCAGAAAGCTCGTGACAATTCCGTGAAACTCAGGCTAAATGCCAGTGCGGAACACCCCCGTCCTTCAAGCGACCGTGGCAACCGTGACAAAGCAGTGCCCCARCCACCGTTCCTGTCCGCTACTGACTCCGAGCACACGAGGTGCATAGGGAGTCTGGCCAACGCATTCAATCTATTTCTACTATCGGTACCTCCTTCCATCCCGCCGACCAGCACTTCTTTCGTCCCAAATCCTCAACCTTGCTCACTTCCCTGAACTTCTTGAGACCCTGGACAAGTACTAGGTACTACCGGTCCCACGATTACCGGTTCTGGTTCAGTCCCAATTTTTTTTTTGGTTCGCTGCCTGGAAGTTAGTAAACGCTTGTTCGTACCAGGTCGGGTCAATGCCTGTCGCCCGTCCTACCGCAGGTAAGCAAACCTAGGTCATCCCAATCTATATCCTCTCAACCCTTAACCCCTACTTTTTCACAACAGAGTAACTCAACAATCCTTCTCCACACTCTTTCCTTATCCCTACTGAAGTTACAAATTGTTTGTCRAAACAGTACATCCGGATACTTCCTCCTTCGCAGTTCCATTCTCAGTGGGATAACGGCTGCAATCATGCCCTGGGTCAAGCATGAATTTTGTCGAATTYTATGCAGGCAACTTGTGATTGCTGCAACTTTTTCTTTCTTTCTTGTCCATGATTCGTAGTCCTGGATGGTTTGGAAAGTCAAGTCTCCTCCTTCTAGCAGGTCCTTCTCATTCTTCATTGTCTGATGGCAACTCAGGAAGGGGGATTTGTCCTCGACCCTCAAACAACAACCCAGGAACTCCCATTCGTTCTCTCCCTCATCTGTTCGTTTCAGGACCAGATTCGAATCATAACACTTCTCATACGCACCCAAGATCTCCTCAGCCCGGCGTCTCTACTCTGTGCTCTTCTTATTATATGCTACGAAAACAGATGCGTCATCCACGAAACGCATTCCAGCAACCTGTCTCTTCTGGCTACCTAATATGAGCAAGAAATCYCATTCCGATTTCGCACACATCAGACACGCCAGGGGAGGACTTGAGGACTTTCTCATCGGGATCCCCACAACCTGTCTCAGGATCACTCCCGAAGCGACCGTGTAACAGTTCTTCAGATCATATCTGACATCATACTCCAGTACTACTGAAAAATTCACCAACTTATGCCCCTCCACTGTCAGGCATTTACTCAACTTTGCACCCTTTCCCCTGTTCTTCACAAAAATTTCGCAAAAACTCTTTGTCTCGAACCACCAAATGCACCATTCTACCGCCCTCAGAATCGTCTCATGAGGCAGCCTACTAAACATATCCTTGATGTCGTAGGAAGCACCCAACACACTCGTGTTCGCACATCCTCTTCTAAAAAACCCGTTCATCCTCCCTAATCTAGTAGTCATAAGGTGGACTGATTTTAGATTGAAATGTCGACTCTCAGGGAGGTTGAAAAGCATTCCATTCAACCCCTGTAAAATCTTTCGACACAATCTATTACCTGGTTCATCGAAAGTAGGACAAATCGGTCGGAATTTCGAAGCATCCTTATGTTTGGGTAGCACATACGCTCTACCAAGCTTCCCTCCTTTCTTCCAACTTCCATACGTCAAAAAACCGTTATCGCGATAATCCACCCACATCCTTTCAATGATCTCACACTCCTCCTTCTGTATCTCATACCCATCATCTGCAATGAAAGTGCTACCCATCCCCGTAGCGTACACCTCCGCACACATAACGAGTGTCTCCCCTGGGTTCTTGTCCAAGGGTGTACACACGTATCCATCTAACCTCCCCTTCAGTTCGATCACTTATTCCATGTTACCTGCCCCCCTTCCCCTCGATTCATCTATACAGGCCTTCACATCTCCCTCGCTGATCTCAGTCTTACTCACGTCCACATTCAACCAATCTCTCTCTCTCTCTCTCTCCCCCTTCGTGCATGTGTTTTTAATTCTCTCTCTCTCTCTCTCTCTCTCCCCCCCCCCATGAAGACCTTGACTTTCGATACATCCATATCCGCTACTACTCAGCTCTACCTCCTACTACTAGCTGTGCGGCTATCGCCGCCTTCCTTTGTCAGCAGAGCGCTGCCCAGCCAGGGCTCGAGCACATGCTACTCGCAGATAGTGCACAAGCGCCCAGCAGCACTTCCACACTTCTTGTGAATGAGCCATCTGTTCGAAAAGTGGCTGGCCAATCCCTATATTGACTTGGGCTGAGCCTTGACTCATCCCAGCCTCTTCTCCTCTTGGCTCGACTTCGACCCGGTACCGAATGCCCGCGGCCTCTTTGCTTCACAATGTGAGGCCCAGTACCTCTCTGAGTTTTCCTTGGTGTGCTGCTACTTTTGGGTCCGTGGGACATGACCTTTGACTGTCGGTCGTGACCCTTGCCTGTGGGATACATCTAACTGTGATTGTGGGTCGTGACCCTTGCCTGTATGATATGACCTTTCACTGTGAGACGTGACTTCTGCCTGTGAGACCCGACCTTCGATTGTGGGACATGACTTTTGCCTCTGGGATCTGACCTTTGACCGCGTAGCTATTTGACTTGACCTTTGACCGGGTAGCTGTTTGACTTTACCTCTAAGGTAATCTTTTTCTGAAACTGGCCGACCTGGCCTCTTTCGGTTCGGGGACTTTTGACCCTAAGACACACTTTTGCATCGTGGAATGCTTTTCAGCTCGATCTGATTGATGCAATAATCCACATGCAGGTTCCCGGCGATTTAAAAAGGGGTTCAACCTCCTGATGCGTCGGTGAAAGTCCGACGAAACAGTCTGGCACAATCATGCTTTTCTTTTTTTTTTTATACCTTTCTCGGCCTTTTGGCTAAGATTAAGTGTAGTATCTGTTCCGATCAGTTTAATATCTGATCCGTGGGAACATAATAAAAAAAAAAAAGAACAAAAAAAGAGAAGACACGGGTCGGGGGCACGTTGCCCAAATGATCAGACCGCTTACCTGCTGGTAGCTGTTACTAAAAATAGGAATGTCGTGCTGTTCCGGAAGGATCGTTTTTACTTGTTTTTGGACAGAATTGCGGCCAGATGCATACATGTCCGGCCTTAAATGAGGTCAGATACAATTTAGATACTGCTAGTATGAGTGAGTACGCCCTCAGAAAATCAAAATCGCCTTACCGAAGATATCTATTCTTTGTAACTGGAACAGGTTGGAGCATAAGTTGTGTCCCAATTTCAACGGATAAAACGGATGAGCAAAAAAAAATTAAAAAAAAATCAACGGATGACACGGATGAGGAAAAAAAAATTAAAAAAAATCAACGGATGACACGGATGAGGAAAAAAGAAAAAAAGAAAAAGAACGAAAGTAACTAGTCTTTCCAATAAGAGAAGAGTTGTTGTTGTTCGCAAAGAAGACCCAGGTCAGGGACGACCAGCTGGCTTCTATAGATGTCAAGGGCACGTTGGTCATCACCCCCCGGCTCCTTAAGAGGAGAACCCCTATATCTGAATCACTAGCAAAAAGGGCCATAGAGATTCAGAGACCATTATGTACCCAAGAAAAAGAAAAAAAGAAAAAAAAAGATTCAGAGACCTTGGACTGTACATGCATCGGAGGCTACCCATGACAATCTGGGCCCAAGCCCCACTATCAGCGTTGATTTTCCTCAACGCCTGAACCTGGACGTGTTTGAGGAGATGTGCAGAAACTTCGTCGAGTTTCCTCAACTGCACATCTCCCCACAATCACGTCCAGATTCAGGCGTCGAGGAAACTCAATGCTGGTTGTGGATCTTTGCCCCTGGTCAGGGTTTAAGCTTTCGAGTTCTTTTGGCATCCAGTCT